AACAGAGGCACAGAGGTGTGAAGTGATTTTCCCAAGATTGCATAGCTATTACCTCGGATTTGGTCCTAGGTTTGCTACCTGACATCTGAAGCCAAAACTCTTTCATTAGTTTCATTTATCTTTATTTATTTAATTTATTTTTTTGAGGTGGGGGAGAGGCAGAGGGAGAGAGAGAACCTCAAGCAGGCTCCACACCCTGAGACATGACCTGGACACGGGGCTCCATCCCACGACCCTGAGATCATGACCTGAGCCAAAATCAAGAGTCAGACACTTAACCAACTGAACCACCCAGACATCAGCATATCTTGCCTCAAATACTTCAGTATATATATATCATTAACCAGACTTCAATATTTGTTTACAGTTCTTTTTTCTTTTGAGTGAATATTTCACACAATGAAATGCACAAATCGTATGTGTGCTATTTGATAACTGTTGACAAACGTATACACCTGTCAACCCAAATCCCTATCAAGATAATGTAATATGAACATCACTCCAGAAAGTTCCCTCATGCCCTTTTTCAGGCAATTCCCACCCCTACCCCCATCCTCACCATCCAGAGGTAATCAGTGTTCTGCTTTTTTTCACCAAAGCTTAGTTTTATCTGTACACATCTTCCGTGGCTTACAGTGGCTTTACCTCCTTCCTGCTAAACCCTCTTAACTTGAAAATACCATAAGTCGAAATGCATTTAATACATCTAACTTACCGAACATCATAGATCAGCCTAGCCTACCTTAAATGTGCTCAGAACACTAGTATTAGCCTACGGTTGGGCAAAATCATCTAGCACAAAGCCCATTTTAGGATTAAGTATTGAATATCTCATGCAATTGATCGCACACTGTGCATGCACAAAGTGAAGACAGAATGGTATAGCATGGGTATAGAATGGCTGTAAGCATATTGGTTGTTTACCCTTGTGATCGCGTGGCTTGCCGCCACTGCCTGGCTCATGGAGAGCCTCTTACTGCATATTGCTAGGTCAGGAAAAGATCCAAATTCAAAACGTGAAGTCTGAGTTCTACTGAATGCAAATTGCTTTCACATATGCATATCATAAAGTAAAAAAAATTGTTAAGTTGAACCATTGTAAGGCAGGGACCGTCTGTACTAGAACTTCATATAAATAGTACCATACCAGTATGTACTCTGTTGTCAAAGCCTTCTTTTGCTGTCACTTGACATAATGTTTTTGAGATTCATCCCTGTGTGTATCAGTAGTTGCTTCCTTTTTCTTGCCGAGTAGTATTCCATTGTATGAGTATGTAAATTGTTTCTCCTGTTGATGAACTGATAGATGCATATTTGAGTCAAATGGTCTTTGCCCTCAAGACGCTTTCTGTCTTAAAGTAATAAGGCATCTGAGTTGACCAAGTTGATTGTACTTTGCTTTGATTTGGGGAGCAGCAGGGTCAAGATGATGTAGGTACATACCCTAATTTATATACATACCTTTCCTCCACGTACAATTAGGAAAGGCCTCCTGGAGTAGGGTGAGGGGAGAAAGGCAGAGACGGAGGTCAGATATCTGTAAGGTTCCCTTCGCTGGAGAGGGTAAGAGGTGAATGAATGAAGAGCCCAGAATGAAGAGTGGGAAGGTGCTGATGTCATCGCTGCTAGAGTCTTTGGACCTGAGGACAGGAGATGCTGAAAGATCCAAGGTCTACAGGAAGGTGATGGAGCCCCGTGCCTGGCAGGGTGGGCTCTGAGGAGCAGAGGACAGCAACACCTGCATGGGGGTCTGACCCTGGACAGCGAAGTTGCAGGTGGCTCCAGACAGGTGGCACAGGAGAAAACCCAGGTCACAGCCAGGCAGTTGTAGGGATGACAGTGGGGAAGGGGTACCTTGTGAGCTGTGTGCATGACTTTGGCAGGACAGGGGTGCCAAGGGGAGGGCTGAAATGGACTCAGTCTCCAAAGGCTCCAGGGTTGGGATGAGAGGGGTAACTTTGGCAGAAAGTTAATAAATAACTTGTGTCCACAAGAGACTTAGATATTTGGAATTTTCGAGCTAGAAGAGCCCTAGATCCTCCAGTCCAACCTTGAGCAAAGTGACAGGCTCAAGGTCCCCTAGCGATTTGTTGGCAGATCCGGGCCTAGATGGCGGCCCCACTAACCTTGCCGGCAGTGGCTGCCCTCCTCCCCCATGCTGTTGCTCTAGCCGTAACCGCGTGTGGTTCCTGCCCGCCTCAATGGCAGTGAGGGGCAAGCCTTGGCCAAGACAGGGATTTCCATGAAATTACTTCTCAGGGACCTTTCCAGCCCAAAGATTCTAGAATTCTGGGGCCTGTTTTCCGTTGATACTGCTCAGATGTCTAGCCCCCGGCAAAGAGCCAGGATTGGGTAAGGATTGCAGAGTAAGAACTGAAGACCAAAAGAGGTGTCTTGGTGGGATAGTGTGGTAGGCAGTTGGATTCTCATGGTTGGGCTGAGGCTGAGGCCAAGAGACTCAGTTGTCCCCTTCCAGTCGCCAGGGTGGGTTTCTTTCTTCATTTCCCATACAGCTGCCTTTGGAGCCATCTTCTAAATCAGCCCCCTTTTAAATATATATAGAGAGAGAGAAAGAGAAAATGCGAGCATGGGGGCAGGGTGGGTAGGGGGAGAGGAAGAGAGAGAATCTTAAGCAGACCCCGTGTTGAGTCTGGAGCCAGGACTCCACCCCACAACCCTGAGATCATGACCTGAGCCACAATCAAGAGTCGGATGCTTAACCGACTGAGCCACCCAGGTGCCCCTAAATCAGCCTTTTAAGACAGTGCAGGAAGTGATGGGTGAGGGCAGTGACCACCAGAAGATCCCACGTCCTGGTATATGGTAGGTCTGTGCCACACCCCATCAGTATTCAGGAGGAGAGAGAGAGAGAGAGACTCCCCAGGTCAAAATAGAGCCCTGAAGAGAGGAGGCCTGCTGTCAGGTTCTCCCCCACCCCAAATCAGTCCAGACTCAGCTGGACAGGGCTGCCCCTGGCTTCGCACTTCTTGGACCCTAGATTTCCTGTCTTCCTACTCCCAGGTACTGTGCATGGAGCATTTTGAACCAAAAAGTTCAGAGGGAACTTTGTTTTACTAGGTAGAAATGGGTCAGAGGGGGCAAGGGGTGCCTGTTAGGTCCACAGGGAGCTAGTAACTGGGCCAGATTCCCCACTTCTTTGGATATGCTCTATAATTAAAGATTTCTCTAGAATTGCACTGCCCAGTTCAATAGCCAGTAGCTGTTGAATACTTGAAATGTAGTTAGTCTGAATTAAGATGTGCTCTGAGTATAAAAATCACACCGGATTTTGCAGACTTAATATGGAAAAGAGAATGTAAAATATGTCAATATTTTTCATGTAGATTACATGATAATATCTTGGATCTATTTATATGAAAGTATATCATTAAAGCTAATCTCACCTGTTTCTTTTTACCTTTTTTAGTGTGGCTGCTAGAAAATTTTAAATCACACCTATGACTTGAATTGTATTTCTGTGAAGAGCGCTACTCTAGGAAGGATACACTGATCTCTCAGGAGCCACGTGGGTCAGGGTGCTGGGCGAGGAGCAGGCAATTAGTCAGGGCCACCAGGACCCTTGGGAGTTCCTGGCCTTGATGTCTTCCTAGGCATTGTATCAGGGCCAGGGGTCCCTCTCAGTAGGTTGGGGAGCCTGGAGGGCCTTGCTTGGTCGTGGCGGTGGGGTACACAGACAGGAAAGTCCTCTCCAGGGCCTTGCAAAAGGTCATTGCTGGAAGGAGTGAGCTTGTTGGTCCTGTATCTCGAACTCAGAGGGGGAGGCCTTCTTAGGGAGAGAAGAAATTGCACTTAATTTCTAATTAGGTGGTATGGCCTACTTCTACTCCTTGTTCCCTGCTGGTTAGAACTTGTTCCCTGGCTTGAACTGCACCCCCACCGGGTCTTTCTCAGTCCTGTCCCGAAGCGGGTGCGCGCTGGGGTAGGAGCAGGCTGGCACCGTGAGTGCAGGTGCCCCGGACCTCCCTTGTCTCTCGGGCTGCCACAGCTTTCTTCCCGAGGCTATATTTAGTTGTTGGTCTGGGGAAAAGGATATGAGTTTAGGATCCTGTTTATCCAGCAGACCCCACCCCCACCTCTCAGCTGTCTGTCCTCTGTTCAGTCTGGAACTTTCCCTTCCCTCCCTGCTTCACTTGGGGTGCCAAGGCCCCAGAGAGGAAACAGTATTTGCCGGCGCTGAGCCGTGGGACAACTAACATATACTTAATTTTCTGCGCCTTGTTTTCTCATTTGTAGAGATAATGACACTTGCCTTGCAGGGATGCTGTGGGGCGCAAACAAGAGTGTGGGTAACGCGCCTGGCAAGTGGAAATCACGAAAATGCGGGTTGGTGCCTTGAGGTCTTCTGTCAGGCAGTGGCTAAGGCTGCTTCTGTGTCCCTTTCCTTCTTCCTGTGTGTTGAATCTTTTTTTTTTTTTTTATTTGACAGAGAGAGAGACAGCGAGAGAGGGAACACAAGCAGGGGGAGTGGGAGAGGGAGAAGCAGGCTTCCCGCCGAGCAGGGAGCCCGATGCGGGTCTCGATCCCAGGACCCTGGGATCAATGACCTGAGCCGAAGGCAGATGCTTAACGACTGAGCCACCCAGGCGCCCCCTCTGTGTTGAATCTTACTTAAGTCAGGCCCCAGGTCGGCTTGATGGCACCCTCCTGCCAGGAGGTCAGAGCTCCTGGGAGCCACCGCGGTGCACACCTATCAGGGATGAAAGGCGATGACAGACTTTGGAGTCTGCGCTTTTACAACCTTATCGAAACCTCAAGTTTCCTTATTTGTAAAATGGGGGTAATCACAGACCTTCCCATAGCAGTGTTATGAGGATTAACTTAACAGAGACGGTATTGTATCAAGCCGAGCACCTGGCACAGAGTAAGCCCCCTCTCAGTGAAGGGGAGCTGTGCTCATTAGTTGGCCTTGTCTGGACTGGAGACACAGGAAGAGGCTCTGCTCGAATCATCTTTCTCTCTCTCTCTGCTTCTGTTTGCAGCAGCAAGGTGGGGTACGAGGGCCCTGTGCTAAGCACCCGTGATCCTCCGGGGGTGCCCCCCCCAAAAGCAGTACCCCACCATGTTTAACCTAATGAAGAAAGATAAGGACAAAGATGGTGGGCGGAAGGAGAAGAAGGAGAAGAAGGAGAAGAAGGAGCGGATGTCGGCAGCGGAGCTGCGGAGCCTGGAGGAGATGAGCCTGCGTCGCGGATTCTTCAATCTGAACCGCGCCTCCAAGCGTGAGTCCAAGACACGCCTGGAAATCTCCAACCCCATCCCCATCAAGGTGGCCAGTGGCTCCGACCTGCACCTGACCGACATCGACTCCGACAGCAACAGGGGCAGTGTCATCCTGGACTCGGGCCACCTGAGCACCGCCAGCTCCAGCGATGACCTCAAGGGCGAGGAAGGCAGCTTCCGCGGCTCTGTGCTGCAGCGGGCAGCCAAGTTCGGCTCCCTGGCCAAGCAGAACTCACAGATGATTGTCAAACGCTTCTCCTTCTCCCAGCGGAGCCGGGATGAGAGCGCCTCAGAAACCTCCACCCCCTCCGAGCACTCTGCGGCCCCATCCCCGCAGGTGGAGGTGAGGACTCTCGAGGGACAGCTGGTGCAGCATCCTGGCTCAGGCCTCCCTCGGCCAGGGCCCCGCTCCCGAGTCCCTGAGCTGGTGACTAAAAGGTTCCCGGCTGACCTGCGCTTGCCTCCCGTGGTGCCCTTGCCGCCGCCCGCCCTCCGGGAGCTGGAGCTGCAGCGGAGGCCCACTGGAGACTTCGGCTTCTCCCTGCGCCGCACGACCATGCTGGATCGGGGCCCCGAGGGCCAGGTCTACCGGAGGGTGGTTCACTTCGCTGAGCCCGGCGCAGGCACCAAGGACCTGGCCCTGGGGTTGGTGCCGGGTGACCGTCTGGTGGAGATTAACGGGCACAACGTGGAGAGCAAGTCCAGGGATGAGATCGTGGAGATGATCCGGCAGTCTGGGGACAGCGTGCGGCTCAAGGTGCAACCCATTCCAGAGCTCAGCGAGCTGAGCCGGAGCTGGTTGCGGAGTGGCGACGGACCCCGCAGGGAACCAGCTGATGTGAGTGTCCCCCTGGGCAGCTGGGCGGGAGCAGTGATTGGGAATTGTGCTTGGGTAGATGAAAGCGGTACCCGGGAGCAGTGAAGTCGTGCCACTCCTTGGCCCCAGGGACAACTGGCCTGGCCTGCTGGGAGGAGCGACCTTAGCATGGGGTGGTCCATGGTGAAACAGGCTTCAGGATACAAGGGTGAAGGGTTTGGGCACCATGTTTCCTGAGCCCTAAATCGGGGCACGGAGGCTCACGCTTGCCACTTCAGATGAGAGACAGTCTGGACTACTAGTCCAGCCCGGCATCTGGACTAAACTAGAGAATTGCCATGTTATTTAGGCATTAGACTTGAAAGAAAAAGATAAATTATTTCAAATCAGGGCTGTCATGGAACATCTGGGCTGTGCGGCTGTTTTGCTAGCTCTTGGGTAAGATGACTTCAGACCTCCTCTTGTCCTTGAATGAGGAGTTGAATAGGAGGTAAGGTTGCAGAGATAAGCAGAGGCCGGATCATGGAGGACCTTGTAAGTCACGACAGGGGTTTAGATTTTTGTCCCAGTGAAACGGGACCATTGTAGGGTTTGAAGCGGGGGAGTGACTGGACCTGATTTATACAGATCACCTGGGCTCTAAGAGTCTTTATTACCTCTCCTGGGGGAAGAAAACACCTGGAAACGTAACATATCTAGCCTACAGAAATAGTAAGACCTGACTGTCCCTGAGACCCCAGCTGTTATCCTGCCCACACAAAACGGCAGTGGAAGGGGTGACATAGGGGCAGAAAAGGTTTAGATTCTATGTATGAGAGGGTTTCCAGGGGATCAGTGATCTCTAACCCCAGGGGTCTTTTGATAGGGTGGCACCGTATCAGTTTGGAATGTTCCACCTGGAGACAGAACATGAAGGACAGGTTGGCCTCTGGCCATCCCTATCTCCTAGCTGCGGGTTTTAGGATTGTGGCGATCTGACCCAGTGCACAGCCTGGCCAGCACCTTTCAGCACTAAGTGGCTGGCCAGATGTGTCAAAGTCAGAAGTGGGAGGAAACGCTAAGGAAGCAGGCAGAGTCCTGGTGCTAGCTTTCTCCCCGGGAGGGGAAGCGGATGCTCAGATGGTGGCTCAGCCTAGCGGCATGGAGGGCCCGGAGGGCCTGGGAGCATCAGGGTCAGAGTCTGGCAGGAAGCACTGGCGGTGGGTTCCAGACCTTCCTTTACCCTGAGCCCGGTGGAGGTCAGCCAGTTTTGCTAGTCAGGAAGGGGTAGTGAGTGGGAGGGAGCCTGGTGTGGAATCCAGGGCAGGACCTGGACTCATTTATTCCAGAAACTCACATAGAGCACCTACTGCGTGTCAGTCACTGGAGTAGACTGAGCTCAGGGAACCACGGTGTGGAGGGAGTGGTCTTTATCTCAGAGCCAAAGCCCCATACGATGTTGCCATGTCTGTCTACTTCTCCCAAGCTAATGTTATTTTTAACAGACGGAATTTTCTTCTTCAAGAATGAATCCCCTGGGGGGGTTGTTGCCAGCTCCCTGCTGAACCACAGCACAGGCCTCTGGGGGGCCCTGGGCCTGGCATCCCAGATGCTATTTCGTTTTCTCTTTATAGCCTAGGGATCATCCTGGCATCTCATATTTCTCAGCCACTCTCCCTTGCCCACGGGCTGCTGCCCCTCCCTCCCTGGGGAAGGGGATGGGTCAGCTTTGGAGGCGCTGGTAGAGTCCACGTTCCAGCTAGAGCTGGTATCCCTGAGATGCTGGCTTGCTTTAGCCCCCGTGGGGCAAGCCCAGCGGTGCCCAGAGGACTTCTTCCCCAGGCTGATGCCTAGGGGATCTGGCAGGGGACACACAGCAAGCTCCATCCTCATGAGTCTCCAAGAGCCATCTGAGAGAACAGTGAGAAGCATAGGGCTGCGGAAGCCCCGCATCTTTTCCTCCCTGGCAGGTGGCAGGGACTCAGGCCACAGCAGAGAGGAGCAGAGTGGGCCCCGCATCCCGGCCTCCTGGGACAGACCCGAGGCTGGTGTGGGAGCGCTGCGGCCTCTACCGCAGCTCTCTTCCTCCATCTCCTCCTCTTCCTCCCACTCCCACTCCGGCTTCTTTTCTTGGCAGCGGTTCTCAGCTCAGTTCCATGCCAAGAAGAGTCTTTCCACTTCCTCGAGGCTCCTGGGCGGGGTACCCTGACAACTCTGGCCCCACGAGGACGGCTCCTGGCGGCCACCCTGCCCATCAGGTCATCCATCAACTGTGTCCACACATTGTCCGTCCCCAGGGAACTCTGAGGGAACCGGCTGGCCATCTCTTCTCTCGGCACACGGATGGAGACCAGGCCTCATGGCTCCTTTCCATGGCCTGTTCAGAAGGCCCTCGCATTTCCTTCTCAGATGATGCATGTCCAGAATGCGTGGCTCACACCTTCATGTGTCCCTGTAGCTGCTGGCAAGATCCCACTGGGAGTAGGGGTGAGCCACAGTAGGAGGATAGACATGGAGCCCCAATAGAAACTGGGAGAGGCAGCTCTTCTTCCGCTATCTTCTATTCCACTCCACTCATTAAACAGACATTTGTTGAGCACCAACTGTGTGCTAGATCCTGGGAGCCAGCAGTGAGCAGGACATAGCCCCAGCCCCTGGGAACTCATAGTCTAGCGGAAGAGATAGTCAGGTAGCAGATGACAGTGCCATTTGAGGAGCTCCCCCACAGGGGCCAGTATGGGGTCCCAGGGAACACAGAGGAGGGACTGGAAGTCCAGCCTTGGGAGTGATCACAGGGAGAGCTGCTGTCCGGGTGGGAGATGAATGCAGGGGAGGCAGGAGGAAGGGGAAGGCTGTGAGAGACACAGACCAAGACCGGGAAGTTGGAGAGAGAATGACACATTGTGGGGGCAGGGGCGGGTAAGGCTGGGGGGACAGTGCGTGGGGAATGAGGATTGAGAGAAGCAGCAGAAGAGGCCAGCAGGGGACAGGTCACGAAGGCCCTTGTGAGCCAGCCTAAGGAATGTGAACTTCAACCAAAGGGCAAGAAGCTGTTTAATCAGGGAGTGATAGGAACAGATTTTAGAAAATCTCTCTGGCTGCTCGTGGGGAATGCTTCTGGGTGTAGCAAGGGCGGCTGTGGGGAAAATAGTGAGGGCCCTGTCATTGTCATCCTAGTGGAATGGAGGCCCGCACTTGAGTACAGCAGTGGAGATGGAGAGAGATTTCAGACGTGACTGACTGGTGTGGGGGATGGAGGAGAGGAGAGCCAAGTGGGATGTCAGCTTTGGAGGAAGATGCTAAGTTCCTTCCTTGGCTCCTCAGGGAAAGTGTTTTAGGGTATTTGGTTTTGGATCAGTTACTCTTAAATTGTCTAAAGGCAAAGCATTCCCTGAGTCTGGTGAGATGAAAGGGGGTGTTGGTACAGACGAGGATCTTAAAACCCCAGTTGGATCAAAATTCTTTTCTCCCGCGCCATGAATCTGAGTGGGAAAGTCAAGGGCCCACTGAGAAGGACAAGGGCCTGGGAGAGAAGAGAGCCAGTCCTTTCCATTTGTATCCTCAGCGGGCCCATCACAGGGAGTAAGGGTGTAGGATGTTTCTGCTAAGCTCAGAAAAGCCCACCTGCTAACCCCCAGCTGATGTGGTTGTCCCCCTGCCACCAAGAGCTAGCCTGCAGGGAGCTCTGCCCAGAAAGCTCCGTTTCCCTGAGTTTCCGAAGTTATTGTGGGAGGGGTGAGGTGGGGGTTTCCAGGAAGGCACCCACCCCCTGCCAGTCAGGCCTGCTTCCTCGGGCTCTATGTGGAGCTGTCAGGCCTTTCCCGGAGATCTGTGATACAGTTTCTTCTCCCTTTGGCCGTGGGGTTTGTACTCAAAGGCTCTAGGGCTATGAGGTTCCTTAAGAGGTTGTCACGTCTGTGTAAACCACCTTTCGTAGATTTCGGTAGGTAGTCAATGCCTAGGATGATGATTAGTACATTTCCCTCTGCCCCGTCTCTAAAGGCATCCAGGGAAGGTAATTTTGCTGCTTCCTTAATTAACCCACCCTGATGTGCTTTCCCATCGTTGCTCCTGGTAAGGTTTTCTTTCCAAGGGGAACTCGTGATGCTTTTATTCCGACCCTTTCCCTGTAGCCCTGTCCTCAGAGACAGCCAGGAAGACCTGGCATGCTGGGCGCTCCCTAGCTTTTCCCAGCATCTCAGGCCCGCAGATGGGACACCAGTGGCCTGAAAGGAGACCGGCGGTTTGGGGTTGCCTGCATCTGGGAGAAGAGCGGGGGCCCCTATGCCAGGAAGCCCTAGACCCCTGGACAGAAGCTGTATGAGCCTCACCAACCTCGTTCCCGGGCCCCTGGGGACTTTCAGGAGTAGGATCTGCGGGATACCAAGGAGAGACAGAAAATTGGCCTGTTCCAGGTCTGCCAGGCCAGCTTCTGAGCAATGGGCTTCCCCTGGGGCTTCTGGTGATGGTGGAGCTGCTGGGTGCTGCCTGGGCTCAGTGTTTTAGAACACCTCTGTTCCTAATGGTACTTCCAATAATCCTCGGACGGGGTTTTTGGGTTTTGTTTGTTTGAAACAGAAAATTCTTACTTCATGTTTTCCAAAGCTTTAGGCACTTCTGACATCAATCTCACCGTGTGAGATCTTTGACCTGGGGGCTCAGGGTAGAACCCAAACTCAGTTCTTTTGGTGATGAGGTGGCCAGTGGGGACGTGTTGAGGGCGTGAGAGCTGGTGGGTGAAAGGTCTTTGGGAGCATCTTGGGGATTATCTATCCTGGATTAGTGGGGTGCATGGGACCAGCAGGATAGCATGGTGGACAGGGTCATTTCTATTCCGCTAGGTCTCCCTTCTCTGTCCTCAGTGGCACATTCTGCCTTCTTCCCGATGAGCTGCTAGACGGACGGCAGCCCCAGAGTGCCCTGGCCACCCAGTCTGTGGGTGGTGGGCACGGTGCCCAGGCCACATTGAGCTGGGTGTGGGTACATGTCATGGTCATTGGTTGTTTTCGCAGGCACTGCTTGGAGCCCTGGTGTGGGGGCAG